GGGCGCCCGCCAGCGCGCAACCCGCGCAGCCGCCCTCGTCTTACTCGCTCCCCCTCCTGCTGTGCAAAGTGTTCAGGTGGCCGGATCTCAGGCATTCCTCGGAAGTCAAGAGGCTGTGTTGCTGTGAATCTTACGGGAAGATCAACCCTGAGCTGGTGTGCTGCAACCCCCATCATCTTAGCCGACTCTGCGAACTAGGTAAGAAGTTGTCCCATGTCTTACCTCCCCTCTCCCCAAGGCGCGCAAGTGGTGGAAGTATCCTCGGGCTGTGTTTGTGTATGTGCAGTCACCTCTCCTGAAGGGAGCGTACATCCCCCTGCTGGAGGAGATGCGGGGACTAAGGCAGAGAAGGGCAAGGGGAAACTCGAAGGGCATTCCTTGGGGATTCCCTTCAAGGCTTTCTTCCTCCGTCGCCTCGAGTGTCCCTGGGCACTGCTCGTGCACACATTGTATGGATATGTCGCTAAAAACTAGACGCACCCATTTCCGGATCATCAAGGGGGTGCAGAGAGAAGTGGGGGTCACGCCTCCCCGCACCCGGAAAGGCGATGAGGTGTGTGGCCGAGTTGGATTCGGTCCAAGCCCGCCAAAGAAGGCTGGGAGAAGCGAGCTATACGAGCTGGAAAGTCTCCACTCCTTTAGTAAATAGGGAAAGTCATGTCGGGCACAAGTGGCCCAGTTACTGCTCTGGCCTCGCAGCTTTGGAGTTTAGAGAGTAGTAGAAGATTAGTATCAGAGACGAACTGGGTACTAAATTTTATCTTTGTCAGCCCCAGGGTGGAAAGGAACGAACATCCAGAAGTTGGATGCCTTTCTTTTTTCTCTTTCGCAAAGAAAAGTTTATAACTCATGTTGTTTAGAAGGTCGACCCCTAAAGCCTCGTTGACGTTCCTGCCCCAGGGTTTCAAGGCAGTGACCCCCTTTATTTTCCTACATTTTCTTTTCTGTGTCTATATGCACTGTGTGTGAGGTTGTGCAGCAGTCTGGGCGCTCGCAGATTCCCCCAAGTTCACCAGTACACTAGGGGCGCATCTCCCAGGTGGGCTGGGAAGGGGGTGCCCAGGTGGATCGCCCTCTAGGGTGTCGGGCTGGCTCGGGGGAGGGCAGGAACAGCGGGGTTTGCAGTTCCAGGACGGGAAGGGGGCCTGCCCCCCGCCCACCCCCTGAACTACGAAGTGCGCGGCCGCGGCCGAGCGGGTGGTTTCCAGCCGGGCCAGCTGAGCGCTGCGGCAAGGGCCGCAGACGTGGAGGAGCAGAGCGCCGAGTGTGGCGCCAGGCGGCCTCTTTTGTTTATCTGACAGCTAAATATCAAGGCAATCACCGCCTCGCGGCCCTGCCTCCAACCCCCACAGCTAAGACAAACAGTTGGGCTAAAAGAATGCCTCTGTCATCATAAGTTTTTATCTCTTTCTCATGGCTGGGCCCTTATACTGTCTTACTTTTTTAATTCCAGAATCTCCCCCCCCTCCTTACTCCAGATACCCGATGGATTTTCTCAAACCAACTGGTGAGTAGATGATTTTCAAAATATTTCCTATCTTCAGTTTAGAACTGGAAACTCTAGAACCCGGATATTTCTATCTTTGTGGCCCTGAGGGAGGTGCTAGTTTGGCTAAAGTTTCCTCTCTTGAAAGTTTGGTAGATATTTTGTGTTGTGGCTGGATTTTTTTTTTTTTCAAAGACATTTCCTAAATAATCCTTTACATTTTGTTCCTTTTTATGTATTTGTACTCTGACCAAACAGCCCAGCTTTAGCACATGGAGGCTTTAATCTATTCAGAAGTGTCTTCGGAGCCAAATAGGGCAGGTTGATGGGAAAATTTGGAGACTTTGTAAGTGCCAGAGAAATCAGTGGGCAGAATGGAAAGGGTGATGAGATGGCAGAGAAGACCGTTTCAGAAGGGGTGCAAGGGGTTTGTTTGCAGTAAGACACTAGAATGTTTAAGCTTTGTCAGCGAGTTAAAAGGAAAGTAGGTTTCCCCTCTCTGTCACCTACGAGTCAGTCCTCTCTTTTAGGGTTTTCTCAGAATTCTTGGTAGGGGCCATGAAAGTTTTTAGCATAGCTTTGCTTGCCTGTTGCTTTGTCACCGGCTGGCACAGGGCCAGAGCAGAAGCCCATTTGAGACTGGCACCAGCCCTGTTGCGGTTGTCTGTATTCAACTTCTGGCTGGCAACAGAGAGAGGCCCATCATTTGGAGCTGACAGTGCCAGCAGACAGGGTCAGCACAGCAGATTGGGGATGACAGGAGGGACAAACCCTGTTTCCTGGAGCCCCTTCTTAAAGTGGGAGTTCATTTGCTAAAAAGTACAGATTGTAAGTTTGTTTTTTTTTTGTGCCTGTATGCTGGTGCCTAAAAAAATGTAACACTTGTGACATTTTAATTTTGCCAAGGTTCTGGGAGAAGGAAAAGTGAAGGGTTGGGCACCATTTAGCTCCTGTAATTCTAAAAGTCCTTCCGCCTCATGAGTTTTGGCTGTTGGGCCTTTCCCCCCACTAATTAAAAGTTTTGCTGGGGCGTTGTCATAAATTAAATACTTTAATGAATGTGTAACCGAAGCCCATGCTCTGCAGCCAGCTCTCCTGGGACTCCAGCTCTCTCAAGTTAGGAAGGCGTTCCTGCTTGCTTGGTGCCTGTCTAATAAGTGGCCTGCAAAGCATGTGATATTTTGCTTTCGATTTACAAAACAACAGATAAATGGTCATTAATGAAGAGATAACCAGCTTTCTGTATTTTTAACAAAAGTTAACTGACATTACCAAGCTGTTTTCCTAAAGAATGTTAAATTGATGGAGCTTTTGTTGTAAAGAATCGAAATTTCTGTGAGGTTAGTTCTCCAAGGGGAGAATTAATTGTTTCATATTTTTCAAATTTGGAGGTTTTCCTTAAAAGAAAAAGGAAGTCCCCCAGGCCCAGGGGTAAACACTGCAGGGCAAATGTTCCCTTGAATCATCCAAAAACCATAGAAAAGAAGGGCCATGTTTACTTGGGTTTATTGCAAAGATACTGGGATAAATCTGTTCACAAAATTTAAGCAGTTATTCTGCCAGACCGGGACCTCCTTTTCGGTGAGTGCAGTGATATATTTATTCATTAGCAAGTGTTGACATTAGGTAGCAAAATGTGTGTAAACAGAGAAGCCACAAAGACCGGAATCGGAATGTGCCATTTCCAAGGGGGTGGGGGAAAGAAATGTTCTTCAAATCAGCCAATAGGAAGTGATTAACCTGCCAATCGGAAATCCAAACAGCTGGTTACTCACCCAAAACGTTTTGTTTAAAACGAAACAAAACAAACAAACAAAGAAGGGAACAAAAAAAGGCAGTGTTGTGTAAGACTATGAGGTTGGTAACAGATGAAACCCCCATGAGAGGAATGGTCTGCTGGGAGGACAGTCTGGGGCTGGAGGGGCACAGGAACAGGTTTGGGGCTGGTTTTGCTGGCAGCTGTGGCTGGGACCTTGTGGTTAGAAGGGAGTGGTGCTGCTTGGGCTTTTTATCCCCACCTTGGGCTTGGGGGAGAGTGTTGTATTGGGCCTGGGAATTTACATTCTTAAATTGCTGAGCCTCAGTTTGAATTTTTGGTCTTGGGTTACTAGGTGAAACAGGCCTAAGGCTTGACAGTGGGCAACTGTTAAAATCTTGCCCAGTTTCACAACTATGGGAATCCCTTTACCAGTTTCCAGCTTGGGAAGAGGCCATGGAGTGGGTGGGGCACTGGCTGGCTGGTTTAAACTGCCCTGCTGCAGCCTCTAGGAGGGGCCTGGGTTTTGTGCAGTCGATACTGTGAAGTACCTTAGAGTTCTCTGCAAGGGAGAGTTAGATGTGCCTGAACCGCTGGCAAGGTGGCTATGACTTGGGACTTTGGGAAGTCCAGAAGATACTCCAGCCTCCCCATCTCAGAAGAATAAGAATTTGCTATTGGCTATTAGACCTCAGTTTATGGCATGGGAATGATGAGTAAATAACTGGGCTCTGCTTTTTGTGTGTACTGTATTTGTAGTCTGAAAGGTTTGAAGAATAGCTGGGCTGGCTGTGGAACCCAGGTGGCCAGTGCCCATTGGATGGAGCATCTATAGCTTAGTAGACATCTTGACTGGAGATGCCGCTTAGTTTTTGCCTCTTACCTTAGGCCTCTTTTAATTTTCCCAGGTTTCTTTTTAAGTCCACTGTGTTCAAAGAGTTAATAGACAATCCATTCATTCACTGGATTATTGTATTGGTTAATGCATTCATCACTGGTTGATTCACAGGTGGAATAATGTGTCTGTCAGAAAACTAGGTTTTCAGCACAATGCAGCATTCTTCTGTGACTAGGGTCCCTTTGAGTTCTGGGTTGGGTGAGCCATGTAGGCAAAGTTGAGGGGTATATTGATGGTGGTGGTGGTAGTGTTGACCCCATCCGTACCTAGGGAAGCTCCAAACTAGGTTGATAAGGCTGCCCCTGTCTCTCTGGGTGAGAGCGGTTTGATGAGACTCCCTCAGCGGTTTAAGCTGTGGTTGTTTCCCTGGCTTGGGTTTTCAAAGGCTCTAAGAACCAGCCTGTGTTGGAACAGCTGGGAGAAGGGGATGAGTCTTTTCTCCCACAGGACCTTGCCATTACTGGGTGCTTGGTAATATAGTGGTGGAAGAAAGCCAGGAATGGCCTAGTGATGCTGACTTTCTGCCAGGCTGGGCTCTGGGGAGTAGGAAGCAGAGAGGCAGAGAGGTGAGACCTTGACTTTAGAGAGATCTGTCTTTGTGGAGTTTTTTTGTTTTGTTTTTAACTTTTGTGGGGAAGGTATGGAGGCCTGAACCCGCTGACCATTAAGAGCCAGGCAGTAGTAGCTAGATGCCACTCGGGATGCTGAACATTGTCACAGTCTGGCCACTTCCTGTGGTTTGCCTCTGGAGAGAGAGCCATGGGACAGATAGCTGGACTCAGGAAGAGCCCACCTCACTGGGTGGCCACTTGAACTGAGTGCCTCAGTTTACCTGGGTGCCTGTGAAACAGGTATACTTTGCTACCTCACAGGGGTGATAGGGAGGCCTAATTAATGTTTGTAAATCCCTCTGGAGATCAAAGGCACTGTAGAAGGGCAGAGCACCATTTCATAAAAACGCTTGCGGTTGCCAGCACAGGGCTGGCTTACCTTTGATGTGAGGCAGGCTGACACCCTGCCTGTGGTCTCAGCTCTGCCCGGAGAGGCCAGGCTTTTTCTTTGAAACACACCTTGCCCTGGCATCCATCCAGCTAGAGCTGGTGGGAGTGGCTGTGGATAAGTCTTTATGTTTAATGTGGGGGAAGAAGGGGGAAGAGAAGCCCATCTCTAGAAAATGGTGAAGGCCATCAGTAGTTTAGAAAGTGCAGGGCATACACCGTTTAACAAGTAACTCCATTTCCTGCCTTCCCCCATTGTTTTCTATTTGATTAAGTGTATCCTGTAAAGCTGTATATTCCTGTTACGTATTATACTCTACCCTGATGAAATAAGATTACATACACAGTCTTCTGTCCTGCCTGCTGCCACCACTTCTATGCCTACCTCTTTGTTTTAAGAGAGGTCTTTCTTTTTTTTTTCTTCTTTGCAGTGCTGGGGATTGGACCCAGATCCTGGAGCATGCTAGGCAAGTGTGTCTACCACTGAGCTGAATCCCAAGCCCACGAGAGCTCTTCCAAAGTTATTGCTCCAGCTATTAGAATGCAGGAGGGGGAGGAAGGATTAGAGAGAAAATCTCAGTATCAAGGAAGCAGACAGAATCCCAGAGACAGCTGGGGGTGGGGGGCTCTGTGTAGTTTAGGCTTGGCCGCCTACCCTCCCTTTGTCAGGTACTGGAGGCAGCAACTGCCAATCAAGGGTTCCTCTGCCTAGGCTGCTGGCCTCTGGGCTGCTCTTTGGTTTGGCTTCCTATTTGCTATTCTGCCAAGGGGCTCTAGTTAGAAACCAGTATTGTATACCAAGGGATATCCAGCTGGTGGCCTGGTGGCCTGGGGTAGGAGGACTGGAATCTACAGGAACTGACCTGGTGTGTTTGCTGTGGAGCTGAGGCGCTCCATTCCTGAATCAGGCTTTCTACACGGGTTTCAGGAAGTTTGGCAGTGGTATGTGAGTAGCTAAAAGGGTCTTGTGTATTTGCGTGCATTTGTGTCATTAGCTGTGGTGTTACTTTATTTTAATTGCTTGGAGGGTGGTTGTGGAGTCAGTCTGTTTATCCTCATTAACATTGAGGTCGCTGTGCTGAACACCTGAGAGTGACAGAAGGCAAGGAGAAAGCCAGTCAGGACAGACAGAATCTTTGACAGTAAAAGATCAGTGAAGACAGCAGACTAGGTGCCAAAAAGATTTTGTAGGCAGCCTTGTGACTGGGAAGGTTTCCAGAGATAGTCTTGATCTGGTGGTATGTATGTAGGTGCATATATGAGTAAACTTCAGTGAGTTCTCTTGAAATTTACATTGTTTGTTATCCTGTTTTTTTTTTTGTACCAGAGAGTGAACTCAGGACCTTGCACCTGTAAAAGCAGGCATGATGCCCCTGAGCTAAATCCGTGGCTCCTATACTTTCAGTTTTTGGAGTTAAATGACCCAGGGCTGGTAATGAGGTTACCCATCCTCCCATCCTGGGTTCTTTCTTTCTTTTTTTTTTTTTTTTTTTTTTTTTTTTTTTTTGGTACCGGGGATTGAACTTGGGTCCTTGCCCATGCAAGGCAGGCCACCGAACTGCTGAGCTAAATCCCTGGCCTACTTTCAGTTTTTGGAAATAAGGTCTTGCTGAGGCCAGGGCTAAGTTGGCCTCACACTTGCAGCCCATTGTGTTTGTGCTATACTTAAGTTGTACCTTAATGGAAAATCCTCAAAAACTGGAAAGTTTTAAAAGATGAGGATGATGGGCTGGGGATTTAGCTCAATGGTTCTGCCGCTTGCCTCACAAGCTCAAGGACCGGAGTTAGATCCCCAGTACCCAAAAAAAAAAAAAAAAACCCAAAATACATGATGAGGATGAGAGCTGGGTGTGGTGGTGGATGCCTTAATTCTAGCACTCTGGGAGGGTGAGGCAGGAGAATCACAAGTTCAAGCCTTGTGAAGGCTCTGGGTTTAAACCCTGTTGGAGTGAGGTGGGGGATCTTGGTGAAACCTTCTAGCAGGAGCCATATGTTAATAATGTGCCTGGGGGGAGGCTCTAGAAACTGCCTTTTGGTTTGGTGCCAGTGGTTGAAGAGTGAAGAAAACTATGGGTGTAGCAGAGAAACCAAGGCTTCCAAGCCTTGTCCTTGGTGAGGGAAGCCAGAACAACCAGGATTAAGAAAGTACACCCCAAACCCTTGACCTTGGAAACCACCTGGTCTCCACTATCGGGGACTTGTAATATAAGAGAAACTCCTGCCAGTCTGTGATTGAGCCTGACTTGACTAATGATTAACTAGCTGCCTGGAGCAGTAGCGGGTTGCAAGGTGCTGTGGTCTGTCTTAGGATGGGCAGCGAAGCTGAGCATTAACAGTCCGCATCGCCGCCAAAAGTCAGCCTCTTGGAATGTGTGGTCTCTCTTTCATGCCCTTTAGAATTTGCATAAAGATGATCCTTGATGTTTTTATTTATCTATTTATTTATTTCTCTCCCTTTTTGAACCCACAGCAGACTGTCCAGATGCTGTGCCTTCCTCCGCTGAAACAGGGGGAACGAATTATCTGGCCCCTGGGGGGCTTTCAGGTAAGATACGTTCTCATATTTTCCTGGCTGTTCCAAAGATTTCTAGAAGTTGCCATAGGTTGAAAGCTGCTCTGGGATTCATTCTCATTTTTATGTGCCTTAAACTGGATGCACTGGGTGACTCTGGCATCCTCCTGCACCTCCTCCTGTGGTCCTTTATGTGTCAGAACCCTGGGGCCATCCCATGCATGGGGAAACTGGAGCCAGCTGGGGGATGGTTTTGTGCAAGACATGTTTTCATGGTTATTTTAAGCAGCTTCTGGCTTGAGGGACTTCCACTCGGTGACTTTGGTGTCATGAACTTCTGCATTTAAGCTCTTTTTTTTTTTGCTCTTGCACTTTGCGAATGGGATGCCTTGGTCGGAAAACTTGTTGAAGACAGACCCCAAGGGCAGCACAGAGCTCAGAGTGGATCTTGAAGAGTGGATCATCCTTCCAAGTCCTGATTACCCTGCCAGCTTTGTGTGTGATTCTCTAGCACATGTTCAGGGAGGGTGTGCCACGGCAAGGGACTTTGCAGATAGTAGGTGCTAGAGCTGTTTCCCAATGAGGCTGGCTTTCCTCGAGGTCACAGGAGTGTGGACCACTCTGGCAGTGTAAGTGGGAGGTGGTGTATTCTTTTCTAAAGACATCCTATTTCTTCCCGTTTTCCTGTGCCATTAGATTTTCTAAGAACTAGCTCTGAAGCAAGAGGAAAAAGTGACCTGGGTGGAGGGGGGTTCTGCTACAGTTCTGGGTGTTAGGCATGTTTTGCCATGGGCCACTGGTGTAAGTAAAGGTCATGGTGTAGCCAATCAGATGGAAGCAGTAAAACTGTTGTGCTCCCTCTTTTGAGGAGTGACCCCCTTGACTAATCCAGTCAAACATTACTGCCATGTGTGATTCAGGTATGTTTCATCTGGACAGTCCCCTCCAGGAATTGGCTTTTCTGTAGGGAGACCCTTGTTTGTTTTGGTTTCAGTGCAATGTATACTGTGTTATCTGAGACAGAGGGTATTGTTTACTCAAAGCTTCTAATGAGAACTAGGCAGGAAAAAAGGGACCCCAGAGGGAGTGGGCTTTGGCAGGGGGCAGAGGACTATAGAGACTGAGAAGCCACAATGTGTGGCTGCATCTTCTGTGCTTTCTAAGGCCAAGGGAGTTGAGAGAGTTCTTGAAAGAAAGGAGGACGAGGAGAAGAAAGAGCCTCAGCAAAATAACACACTCAGGATGTTGTTAGATGGTTTTATTTTTTAAACCCTGGGTGTGCAGGGAGGAGTCTTGGCCCCTCCAAACCACATGAAATAAGCAAGGGAAGTGGTAGCTTTTGAAAGGGGCTTTTCGGAAGGTTTGTCTTATTGATAACATCTTGTCTGTCTCCTCTGCTGGAGGAAATGACGACACCAGGCTGAGACACCAGGCTGAGACACAGCCTGAGTGCCTCCTCGCCCAGCCCTGGGAGCCAAACAGTGTGACCTGGGCAGCCCTTCTGAGATGGCTGGGCTTTGTGCTCCCCAAAGCTCTTCCAGTCCTAGAAAGAAAGTGTGTGGGGGGGAGGTAAAGCAAGCATTATTGACTCCTCCAATCTCCCATGGTAATTGCAGCCACTTAGATTAATGAGGAGTTCCTAAGGAGGTGTGGTGTGTCTCTGAAGGGGTGGCATGGTTTAACAAAACTGCAAAAAGCAGGGAAAAAAGTGTGTGGGGGCCTCTACATGAAAGAGCATTTGTTTTGAATTTTAGCTCTTGATTTACTAATTCCCAAGGCTTCAAAGTTGGAGCTCTTCTTTCTGTGTGTAGTTGGAACCATGTATTAATAATGTGCCGCCGGGGGAGGTTGTAGAAACTGCTTTTTGGGTCGGTGCCAGTGGTTTGGGGGTGTCCAGCAGACTGTTGAAGAGCACAGAGAAAAGTCTTTGGAGTGGGATCCCCCCAAAAGGTGGATTTTTTTTTTTTTTCCTTTTTATGGTGGCTAGGCCAGGGTAGAGCTTTTTTTTTTTTCTTTTAAGTAGCAAATGCTAAGACCTCTTTTTCAAGAAGTTGGTGGCTCCTGAGGTGGTGGCCCTGGCTACAAGGATGAGGCCACGGAGGTGCAGTGGCAGGACCCCTCAGGGGAAGAGGCTAGCATAGCAGATTTGAGGGTCAGGGGGGTACCTGGATCTTGCTTGGGGAGCAGGACATCAAGGTGGGTAGCCGTGAAAACACCCACAAGGGATTTCTCTTTCCCCTCCCTTGAAATAACCTCTCTGAGTCTCTTTCACAGGCCCTGTGTGCTGTTTTCCTTCCTGTCCTGCCCTGGCTGAGACCGGGCTTAATGAATGGGGCTCAGTTTAGGGTGGGAGGAAGGTCGGTAGTGGGAGCCAGGGCTTGATTCTCTTGGCAAGGAAAGAAGGGAAAGAAAAAGCAGCCGAATGTGAAAATGTGGTGCTTTGGAGGTGGGGGTAGGGTGTGCTCAAAAGCCTATCCCCTCCTGAAACTCTGGTAACTCCAAGGCTGGCCCTTCCCTTTCCAGCACCCTTGCCGACTGCAAGCCAGCCAGGGAGGAAGGAGAGTAGGTGGGTAGGAGTTCTGAACCGGGCTGCTGCTGGTTGCAGGCTGCCACTTGGTTCTGTGGGGGCCAAGAGGCCTGGTCCTTTGGGACTTTCAGTGAAGTACACCCCACCCCTGCAAGCTTCCTCGGTCTGGGAAAATGGGACATTTTTAGAAGGCAATGACTTGGTTCCAGGAGATTGTACTTTCATTTCTGACAGCCGGCTCTGAGACAGATGGATTGCTCTGTGGAAGTGTGCATGTGCGCGTGCATGTGGTGTGTGTGCGTGTGTGTGTGCGTGCACACGCACGACTGCAGACATACAGACAGTCCTGTTTGCAGCCACCTGAGCACACAGATGCCTACAGGCAGGCTCTGGGACAGTCTGGGGTCCCCTCCCAGGAGATCTGTTGACGTCAGGGCAGTCTCTTCATGAGGATGTGTCAGGGATGGCATTTGAAGATTGATTTTGAGCTATGATTTGGCAGACTGAGTTCAGCTGTCTGAGCATGGGCATCTTTTGAATGGAATGCAACTTCAGATCAGGCTCTTACTGCTGTTGGGGCACCATAGTGTCATGGCTCAGGAAGATCTACCTTGGCGCAAGGTCTGACATAACTGGGAAGCTTCTAGCTAGGTTCAGCTCAGTGGAAAAGGAAAGCTTTTGCTCCCAGAGCTTTCATTGCATTGCTAGTAACGAAAAGCATGTGTTCAAAGCTGTCATCTTTGCAGCCTCCATATGGAGTTTCTGGGGGGCTTGCACTTCTGCCTGCTGTCCTGGTTTGTGTGGCGATAAGGAGCAGCATCTCACTTGTTCTAGGTTACTCAGATGCGGACTCATCCTCCGTCTGCCTTTTTGAGATATAAACGTCTGGGTGGCACTGTTTGCACATCAGCCTTGTGGACCTCCCCAATCAGAGCAGTAATTTCTTATTTCACCTTCAGAAGAGGGGGTGTCCCCATGGATTTCAGGAGGGTATTGGGGTCTAAAATATGGTCTGTCTTGGAACCATGCTTACTTGGGGGGACGACATCCTTTCAACTTTAGGGAGGCCACCTCCTTTGCTAAGGTCTTTTTTTTTTTTTAATTGAGTTTATTGGTACATTCTAGGTATACAGTACATTTACATTCAGTTATTGGTATCTTGTACCTTTACATGACAGGTCTTGGTTTGCTAAGGTCTTAAGATCCATGGTTTGCTTTTGGTTCTCAAATCTGGAAGTGAGAGCATCCTGGAGTCAGAGCCTGTCTCTTCTGCTCTTTGATCCTTGCTTGCATCTGTTGTAGCCTCAGAGAAGAGCCTTCAAAAATACATATATAATCTGAAAATGCCACCCTGGTTTAGTCCATGGCAACCTGAGCTCAAACCAAGTAGCTTGGCAAAGATTGCTCTATCATGCTTTAAGAAAAGTTATACAGCAGTTGTGAGCAATTATTTGTTTGGCTTGAAATTGTGATAGCAACTAGGAATCTGGGCCTGGGTGCCTGTTGCTGTATTTTCAGTGCCCTTTCCTTGCCCCTAGCAAGTAGCCTCTGGTTTCACTGAGGTGCCTCGGGACGGGGAACACAGGACAAACAGCTTGCAGACTGAGCTGGCCTTTCATCCAAATAACAAGGAACACGAGCTTTGGGATTGAAATCGGATGTGCTGAATCAGAACTTCTTCATGCCTCCCAGTCAGTACCTGACCCACTATGAGAAATGCAGGTCTGGAACTCCATTGACAGGGTCTGAATCATCTTAAACCAAAAGCTAGCATAATGACCTTGGGCTGGGGTGGGCTTCTCTGATGAACAGCAGTTTTTTGCTGTTTGCTGGCCTCTTTTGTACATGTGCCTGAGGTCATGTACCCACCCCTGGAGAAAGAGTGAGTCTCTTTGCTCCTGGAAGGAATGAGGCAAAGCAGGGGTTAAATGCAAGTTGACAGCATTTAGTCTCTGGAGTAAATTTGAGCTGCTCTGCCGGCCAGACTAGATGAGCTGCTGTCTTTTGCATCCTGTCCCCCCAACCCCCTAGAACTGGGCTGGCCAGTGAGGAGGGAGGGGGGCCGGGGGAAGGCCAGGCCCCAGTGGTGTAGCTTTTGGTTGCAGACAGTCTTAGCACACTGACTCCCCTGAACTTGGGCCTTTTCTCAGCAGAGCCTGACCGTAGACTTCGAAACCTATGGGGCCTCTGGCAAGCTCAGAGCCAGGGGTCAGTGAAAAGAGAGGAAATGCCAAAGGATTCATGATCAAGTTGGGCTTCCTTTGCTTCTTTATTGCTGTTACTTATTCCATAATATCGCTCCTTGCAGTGTTATGATGGCCAGGCTGTTCTTTGTTCACTTTAGTCTAGAGCCTTGAACTTGGAGCAACACCTTTGAAATAGGTGTCATAACCTAGCAGAATTTTTAAAAAGGTGTAGAGTATCAGTTAGACTTGCTTGCACGTTTGATTCTCTTGGGAATGAGCCTCTTAAATGAGATTTTTGCTTGATTGAGGAAACATTTGAG